TCAGGTATAAAGAGGTATCTCGTGGCTACGTCGTAGTCACGGAGCCGGGCGGTGAGCACAAAGCGAACTATTCTTTCGCCTTTTACTAAAGAATACCGTGTGCTCGCCGCACTCACCGGCATACGCCTATTTTTGGAGGAGTTTCTTTTTACTTAGAAACTTCCATAACTCTTAACCCAATGATTCTATTTTGTTCTCATTATCTTCAATTTGTTAAATAAATGAATTTTATATTTTCGTTTTTCTTCTTCTTGAATATATTATAAAACAAAAGATTCAGTCTTTATCTAATAATCTAATGCTATATTATAATTTTATGTTTAAAGTTAAATATTGTAAGAAAATAAAAAATAATAATAATATATAAACATGAATAAAATCGAGTATTATTTAGCCATGCAAGGTGGTCTTTACTGATTCTCACGGAATTCTACGTGCCCCATGCTACTAGGGTCAGAGCGTAAACTAGTGATGCTTTTGGTTACTGGACTCTTGTCATCTAGGGTGCAACACTCCCCCGCTTCGCCTAGTAGCACGACGCTTGTATTGCTCTCCCATAACCTCGTTTTCACGATTTAGGCAGCTGCCATTTCACTCGCCGCTACTACGGGAATCACTTTTGCTTTCTTTTCCTCTGACTACTAAGATGTAATGCAGAAAAGACCAAAAATCATCTCCATTTGACAGAATGTCTGGTTATGAAAAGACTGCTTTCTACGTCTTGTCGTTTCGGTGAATCACTAGAGCTCTGATACATTCTTTTCCGACTATGAACTATTACACTTTCATAAAAAAAAGAACAACCAAACGAGATAAAGACATAAGTTTGAAGTGCCATATAAATTGATTTTTTTTTTTTTTTTTTTTTTTTTTGTTTTGAAACTATAAAAAGACAAGTTTACAATTTAATTTAAAATTTATAATAAATATTTTAAAACTTATTTTAAAAATGTGTAATATTTAATTCATTAATAAAGAAAAACTTAAAGCTCAAACCGACGTCGTTTATGATACTCGTCTTGCCATTTCTCCCTCTTCTCACTTTCACTGTGGATTTGTCTTGTTGAAGAAGAAATTTGAGAAACCCTTGCTTCTTCATTTCTGATCTATTTGTTCACCAAAGATCTTGTGCTTTCTCCCAATTTGAGGTTAGATCCACTTGGACTAAAGATTTATTTCTTATTTTTTCGTTTGTCCACCAGAAATTGTGTGGATTTACTTGTGAAGTTTGTGAGATTTTCATACAGAACTTGCGAAGATGACCCAAGACGCCGAGATGAAAGAGATTCCTGCTCCATTGCCGTCTCCTACCTCTTCAACTTCCCCCTCAACTCTGCAGCGTAATGTTTTTTCTACCCATACTCTCTCAATTTTGCTTCTGGCGTTGTTTGTTTGAATGCGAATCTTTACTGGCGTTTAAGGTTTTGGGACAGCTTTCGAGAATTGATGTGTTAGATTTTTAGTCTTTAGGGCTGTATTCAATCCTTAAGAGTTCTTGGTTTTGAAATTTATTCGTGATTTATTTCAATCAGATTTGAAAGAGATTGTGTCGCTTATTGAGACTGGTGCCTATGCCCGGGAAGTAAGGCGCATTGTTCGTGCCATTCGTCTGACTATGGCGTTGAGGCGGAAGTTGAAGGCTTCTGTTCTTTCTCAATTTCTGAATCTTGTTCTTCCGTCAGGGTCCGAGGTGTACTCTAGGTTATCGTCCTTTCTTCCCAAGGTACTTGGAAATTCTTTGGAAATATTGATTTTCGTCCGAATAATGCAATTTTAGTTTTGTTCTTGGTTACGGAGTGGGTTTGGTTAGTGTAAAGGTTTAGTCCATGGTGCTAGTGTTCTGAGCATTAAATTTTTTGTATAATTTCTTAGGAGGAAGACTGTGAAATGGATGTTGACTCGGGAACGCAAGCTCCTTCCAAACACCCCTTGCCCGAGATAGAGATATTTTGCTACTTGATTGTGCTAATCTTTTTGATTGATCAGAAGAAATATGACGATGTAAGCCATAAGGATTTATGCAAAGGAATATAACGATTGTTCTTATTTTGTCTGGTCGTCCTGAGCGCTTCCTTGATATTTTCAGGCTAAGGCTTGTGCTTCAGCAAGCATTGCACGGCTTAAGAACCTAAATAGGAGAACAGTCGACGTGTTGTCTTCCAGGCTCTACTTCTATTACTCCCTCAGCTACGAACTCAACGGTGATCTAGCTGAAATAAGGGGGTGAGATTATCAACTAAGATTGTAATTGGGTTATTATAGTTGACTTTATGCATCTGTATGATTTTAATTCAGAGCATACAAATGAGGTTGAGTTTGAAATTGTATGGATTTCTTTAGTGAACGTAGATATTCGTCTAATAACATAGAAAACTTTGATTTACAGCAACCTCCTAGCCTTGCATCGCATTGCAACCTTGCGCCATGATGAATTGGGTCAGGTAGTTCTTTATATCTTTGCAGTGCTTACTACCATGACTGTATTATGGTACCTTAATGTGTGGACAACAATGTTATGTAGGAAACCCTCCTTAACCTACTACTTCGTAATTACCTCCACTACAACCTTTATGATCAAGCAGAGAAGTTGAGGTCCAAGGCACCACGATTTGAAGCTCACTCGAATCAGCAGGCAAGTTTGAAGTGCGCTAGTTTTTAATTTTTATGTTATCTTTTTCTTTTTTCCAAGTAAATAAGTATCTGATGACTTAAAATCTTTTCATCAGATCTTAGGCAGCATTCTTTTCTGTTGAAATGCTGGTAACAATGTAACTTGTCTATTATTGAAATAGATTAGGCAATTTAATTTTGAAATTGCTAGTTAGAGTGCTTTGCTATATGCTTCTTAAATTTAGATAATATAGCAGTTTTGTAGAATGTTAATAATTAGGAATCAAGCGTCATATTTTGAAATTTGTTGTGATATTGTGCTGGGTTAGACTTCCTCATTTCTTTTAGAATTAGAATCTAAGTTGTAAGCAAAGCATAGCATAATGATTGGTTATTACAGTTCTGTAGGTACCTGTTTTACCTTGGGAAGATCAGGACCATTCAGCTGGAGTATACCGATGCAAAGGAGTCGCTTCTGCAAGCTGCTAGGAAAGCACCTATTGCAGCACTTGGTTTTCGAGTGCAGTGTAACAAATGGGCAATCATTGTTCGCTTGTTGCTGGGAGAAATCCCCGAGAGGACTGTTTTCATGCAGAAAGGCATGGAAACAGCTCTGAAGCCATACTTTGAACTTACCAATGTAAGTTTTATTGGTCAAATTTGATACTTTCCAGTTATTTCTTCCATAAAAGTTCAAAGTTTGTGATGCATCATTTCTTTTTAGTTGTTACAAAAATGTAATTGAAAAGTTGTTTTCTTCTTACAAAGGTGTAGTTTTGGTAGGCTCTGGCGATCAACGTGTATATTGTAGGAAGAGGTTGAGGGATGCGCGGAATCTTGTGTGAGTGATGTGTAGGGGAGTCCTGTTAGTGGGACACATGTTAGTTACTCATATTTGTGACTACGTGAATAGGTAGTAATATATATAGATAGATGGAGAACATAGAGTTATCCTTGAACAAGTATGGTTTCGGTCTGAATTTTCTGAAGTTCGATGTCAAGCCAAGATAATGGTTGTATAATTCCAGTTTTCTGCACTCTTTTATTAAGAACGCTGTTCTTTTCAGGCTGTGAGGATTGGTGACTTGGAGCTTTTCAGAACCGTTGCAGAGAAGTTCTCTAGTACTTTCAGCTCAGATCGAACCAACAATTTGATCGTGAGGCTGCGACATAATGTCATAAGGACTGGGCTTCGCAACATTAGCATTTCGTATTCACGTATTTCTCTGGCTGATGTTGCCAAAAAGCTGAGATTGGACTCTGCAAATCCTGTTGCTGATGCTGAGAGTATTGTCTCCAAGGCAATCCGAGATGGAGCAATCGATGCAACAGTCGATCATGCGAATGGATGGATGGTATCGAAGGAGACCGGCGATATCTACTCTACCAATGATCCCCAAATTGCTTTCAACTCAAGGATTGCATTTTGCCTGAATATGCATAACGAGGCAGTCCGTGCTCTTCGGTTCCCGCCAAACTCACACAAAGAGAAAGAAAGCGCTGAGAAAAGGAGAGAAAGACAACAGCAGGAGCAAGAACTTGCAAAGCACATTGCTGAGGAGGATGATGACGACTTTTAGCTTATTGAATTTGGGAGAGACGGTATGAATCTCAATCTTTGGTGTGCATTAGTGAAGTAAAAAAATACAATTTTATTCAGAATTATTCTATGCGTTGGTTCACATTTTCTTTTATCATCAAATGTTCTTGTCTGTGATGGCGGCTGCAACTCTTTCATTTGTGGAATGTTCTTGAGATGCCCATCTTATAATCAATTACCCTTCTAAATTGTTACTCAAAGCTTTGGGATTGCATTCATGTGCAACCTCAAAATTTGGTGGGTAGAAGATTGTTGTTGCTATTTGATTTTCTTGGAATAAAAAATTTTAAGAATATATATTGAAATTGTGTTGATTTTATTAAGTTTTAATAAAAAAGATTTTTCAATTTACGATTTAATTATGAATACACAATAATATTTTTTAGATTATCTAATCTCCCAAAACTCTTGGAATGAAAAAATTTAAGAATATATATTGAAATTGTGTTAATTTTAAGTTTTTTTTTTTTAAATAAATAAATAAATGTGTTGCATATTTTAACAATTTAACCTTTTCAAAAACAAAGATCAAAATAAATGATTGAATAATTTGAGTAAATTATTTAAGAGTTATTTTGTTAACAAAAAAAAAAATAAAGTTGACCTAAAAACATGGTTCCACCTGATTCAACCTAATCCAATTTTTAATAAAATTCTTAAATTTCAATGGTACCAATATTAAAAAATTTGAAAAGATTTTTTTGGGAAAACTAAAATAAGAAAGATGACAGATCCTACACAACAAATTACTTTACTAGCATCGATTTAAAGAGTTAGCAGGAAACAGTCATTGACAAAAGAATTGCAGAATTCAAATTTGCATTTAAAGTAACAACAAAACTTGAATGATTCCTCCAAAGTGAGTACTTGATGATAACATATAAAGAACTTAGAACTTAAAGGAAAGTTACATTGCCAAAATAACTCCTTGCTTCTCAAACTGCCTTCTAAGCCACCAGGGTGCTGGCCGTTGTGGATTCACTGTAAATTTTTTTTGACAAAGCTTAGCATGCAGCAATGAAATATAAGCATCAGCAATGATTACAAACAAACAAATTCTAAAATCTGAGACCCTCCAACCATCCTAATTAATGGTAAGAATATGAGAATATGAGAAGTTTGGAGATTCACTCTCATCCTTCATATGCAATTTTTCTCATTTTACAGTCCCTTTTCCCGAATTCGACAGGTTATGTAAAAGCCATTGATCAGCAGCATGCGAGAATATGAACTTAATCTAACCTATGAAGCAACATTTCCATGCAAAAGTGAAAACAGTTAATAACTCATGTTCTTCTGAACCTCAAAATACTTACTACTTCCAAACAGGGGGGAGCTTCTTTGTCTTCTTGTAATACCGGGCCAGGCGATGGATCCTGCTCTCCACTAAAATTAACCTGAACTTGGAATCCTTGTCCTTCCTGTTTCTCTCCAAATGCTTTCTGATTGAAACAGCTTTCTTGATGAGATGGTAAAGATCCTCCGGGATTTCAGGAGCTAGCCCTGAGAAAAGGAAGAATAAATGGTTATAAAAATCACATAATCATTCTGATGAAAGTAGAAAAAATTCAGTGGATGTGGTATAGATGGGGCTCACCATGAGCCTTCAATATGCGCAAAATCTTGCTCCCAGTTACACTTTTCACCTGAGCAATCCCGTGCGAATCACGAAGAATAACACCAATTTGAGATGGTGTCAAACCCTTCTTGGCAAATTTGCAAATGTTCTCGGCAACCTGAATCGTATAGAAAAGACATCAACTTCTACAAATTGTACAAAGGTTAACCACCCTTCAATTATAATGATCCATTTAAAATGACATTGAAGGGAAGAAATTGATAATTCTTTTGGATATTAAAGCGAACAACCATCAGATTTGGCACTCAAATGGGACTAAAAAATATGTAACCATTCTCTTTTCCAATCACACAGGCAATCTTTAACAAAAACTATCTTCGTGATCACAGAATAAGAACTTAGGGCATTGTCCTGCTAAAAAATGAACGATCACAAAACTGAATCCTCATAAATCCATGGAAAGCCTTTTATTTGTCTACACATTCAATTGGCAATGCCGTCCTCGGTATTAACTCATGATTGAACAGCTCTAACACCGTGAAATTATATAGAATCTACATTTGATCACCAATTAGAATGTTCAAAGACCAAACCAAAAAAATCAATTTACAGAAGTTAGGAGAGGAATTCTCACATCCTGGGAAGAGATCTTCAACCAACTCGGTGGCGTCCTCTTGTAAGGCAGTGCCGAAGCTGAAATACCCTTACTACAAATGCAAATAAGCAAAATAAAGAAAAACCATCCGAAACTTCTAAACAGGTATTTCGACAAAGCTTAAAAGAAAGATTTCTTCACTGAAAGTAAAGACGAACCCTCGACTGTGCATACGACCCATGGCGACGGCTCGTGGAGAAGAAGACGGCTTCCGATCCTTTTTCGCCTGCTCCTATGGTGAAACACTTGCAATCAATGCGGCTTTTAGGGTTTTGATTTTAGAAATTTGCTGTGCTATCTGGGCTGGGCCTCTGGGCCAGCCCGGTCCATAGACCTCACATACTAATATATACCTATGTATTTTACATTTTCATTGTTGTTATATAAATTTATAAATTATTTGTTTGATTTTTCTATATAAGGCGAGGAGGGGCATGGCTAGGGTTGGGGTCGGAGAATGTAATTCCGGTCGGTAACACTCCATGTCCAAGATTTAGATTAGGATTCGGAATCCAAATTTGTCATTTGATAGCCCCGACATTCCCCAACAACATGGACACATTATCTACCTATTGATTCTTAAGAGTGAAGACCATCCCCACAGACCGACACTAGTTCTTTTAACATGTTTTGTCCTCACTCATATGATCTCAGGAATATTTATAGGAGGTCACTCAATATAGAATTGCTCCAAGTAAAACACGCTTGCTGAGCCACCAAAAAGGAAGGTGTACCTTATTGTTACGGATAGTAATTGTCATTCTTGTCATTAGGATAACTCTCGTTCGGATGTAGTCTCGGTTCATTCATGTACCTCTCCTTTACTCGGGCATCACACGGGCCCTCTACGAGATCTCGACTTCGCAGGTTAAATAGACCTCTATACATGATTAAGCATCAAAATACTCAGTAACTAACTCCACTTGAGAAGCTGAAGTGAGTCGAATTATTTTGGACCAATGTGAAATTTTAGGTTAATATTTGATTGGCCCAATCTGAAATTTTAGATTGGTGACTTGAGTAACTAGAATTGAATTCAGAATCCAACCTTCAATTTTCAAGTTGAGTTGGGTTGAGTTGTCTGAATTATTATTTTTAATTATTTTAAAAATCATATTTATCTACCATACATATTAAATTAATAACTACACTCCTCAAACTCAAATATCAAACATTCACAAGTCACAAAACATCACTCATGTCCGTTAAAAAATAAATAAAATATTTTTAATTTGCATGATAATTTAAAAAATAAGGATGGGTTGAATTGTAACCCTATTTTAAAATTTGTCGGGTTGACGTAACCAAAAAAAGTCAACTCCAAAACTAAACAGTAATTTTCAAATTTTTAAAAATTCAACTCAACCCAACCCAAATCGAAAAGAAATCTAACCCAACTCAACTTTTATGGTTCAGGTTTAGAAGTCTGAGTTAGTTAGGTTCTTACAGTCATATAAACTTCACCATCTAGTAACCTATTGACTCCTATAATTTAATGTTGTTTTTCATCGAACATCGTTCAAAACAGTTAAATCACATAAGAATATAATTCAATGGCCCTTTCTTAAAAATGTCAACTCAATTAGGTGTAAAAACTTATCCTAATTTTTTTTTTCATTAATTAATTTTTGATAGTTGAATTTCCGATTAAGAAAATCAAATATTCTCAATTAAATTGACCTTAACGATATAAATAAATGGAAAATGGCCCTAAATTCAATTGAACTCACAAAAATTAATTTATTTTTATTTATATATTTCTCAACTCAATTTAATTATAAATATAAAAAAAAAAAATTGATACAAATCCAAACTCTTTATATAGTTGACTTTATGATATTTAAATTTAATACGAAGGGATATTAAACATCAATTATAATATACATATTTATTTTATAAATAATATAAAATATTATTGATAAACAAAATTAATTAGATTATTGATGCCTAAGTCTTAATTAGCCACATATTTATTTTAATTTTTAGCCACAACATATTTCTAAAAATAAATAAATAAATAAAACATTGAGCTATGCAATTATTTGTTACTATTTTAAAAATTCTATATTGCTTAACTAAATTATTTTTGTTTTATATTTTTAATCTATCTATATATATATATAAATACAATCAATCTAATTCAATTTTTTCTCGGAAAAAGAAAAAAAAAACATAAAATAATAAACTATAATTATTTTTCTACCTTTTTCTATAAAAATATATATTTTAAAAATTACAACACAATTTTTTTAATATAACATATAATTATCTGTAAATATGAGTGTATATTGACTATTGCATATTATTATTGTTGAGCTGTTATTGTCAATATTAATTATTATGATAATGTTAATTTAAATAACTTGATAGTATTATAAAAAATAAATTTGATTATAGAAAAATATTAATTAAAATAAATTGAATGATAAAGATTATCAATTGACGTGTTGCTCCGTACTCATAATCTAATCCAATTTTATCAATTAATTTTTTAATTTTTCTTCTATTATATATATTAATTTTTAATTTTTTTAAAAATGATTTTTCTTTATTTTTCTAAAACAAAAACAAAAATTATTAGTAATGTTGATATAATATATATGTTGATTTTTAGTATAGAGTATATTTCATTTTTTAGTAAACATTTATTATTAATTACTCAGTTTGATAATATAAGATCATTATTTATAAAAATTCAGTAATAAACTAAAATCTAATTGCTTCAAATTATGTTAATATAAATAAACAATTTTATAACTATCCACAATCATATCTTATATTTGTGTATCGTAAACGATTGATTTTACTATATTTAATAATAATATTATTTTTATGGAATATTAAATCTTCGATACAAGGTTAATATGCTTATTATTTATATGACCTTTATCGATAATTAGGCCAACTAACGGTGATTTTATAATATATAATACAAATAAACAATTAATTGTTAGAATAGTAAATATATATGTTGAATAAATCAATAAATGTAATTATCATGTATTTGCTTTTAAAAACTGAACTCTTTGTAACAAATTTTCTTTATGTGTGACCCACGATAATGTTGATCAATTTTAAAATGATAAAGAATACAAATATATATATATATATGTATATTAAAACTTAATTTTTTAGTTAGAGATTTAAAAGTTGACTTTCAAAATTTCTCGTTTATTATTAATATATTTGAAATTATTATTTTTTAATAAACTTTTAAGTAATAATTATATTAATCAGTTTAAATTAATTTATGTAAAAAAAAAAAAATGGAAGAAGAACCCAACTAAAATATTTCTAAATTTGTCCGGGCCCTAAAGTCATTGTTTTAATTCAAGTACGTACGGTTTTGAAGCTATATGTCGTACCAACTAATTAACGAGTACAGTATGTGTTTGAATATTCAACGCAAGGTTAATAATTTAGGTATTAAATATATTTAATGATGTAAGGATCTTTCTTCTTAGTTATATATTAAAATATTAATTGATCTTATCTTACCATTCTTGAAGATGTTGGTTGAACACGATGAACTAATATTATTTAGATTGATGTCAAATCAGATTTAGTAACCAATAAAAATAAATTAAGTTTTTTTTTTATTTTTTTTATTAAATGACTTGTTCTATATTATAAAGATGTTATTCTTAATGTGTTGGAGATTGTCTGGGCATCCATTTACTACTCAACCTAACTTAACCATTAAGATATTAGTTTTAATTTTTTTATAACATAAATTATTACGGGTGAAATTGGACAATAAGGACAAATCTAAGTTACACAGAATCAGAAACCAAATCAAACAGAAAATGTCAAATGGTCAGGATATGTACCAATTAGAGTCATTGCATAAAAATAAGGCCTTTGTAAATTAAGTGTAGGGTTTGTGCATATGAAAGTTATATTGTTTACATATGAAAGAAGTGTGTACACACGTGTAAGATCTCACATTGGTTGGAAAAGATAACACATATTTCTTATAAGAGTATGAAAACCTCTCTCTAGTATACACGTTTTAAAACCGTGAGGATGATGACAACATGTAACGAGCCAAAACGAACAATAATTGCTAGCCAAGTTTAGGCTATTACAACTGGTATCGGAGCTAGACACGGAGCGGTGTGCCAGTAAGAACGTTAGACCCCAAGGAGGGTAGATTGTGAGATTCCATATCGGTTGGAGAGGGGAACACACATCTCTTATAAAAGTATGAAAACCTCAACCTAGTAGACACATTTTAAAACCGCGAGGTTGACGACAATATGTAACGGACCAAAACGGATAATATCTACTAGCGATGGGCTTGGATTGTTAGACAACGAGCCCGAGAGTTTAAGAAAATGGTATGACACTAGTGGGTTATGTGTGTACAAAAGTGGTACATGTCCCGAGTGTAAGAAAGAAGTGTACGTTGTCTAAAGCCATGATTTTAATGTCACACTAAGAAGTGTTTTTACGTTACATGTAATTGCATTTTTCAAACTTACTGATAAAGACACTAACAGATTATTTTATAATTATTCCACAATTTATTTTAATTAAGAATAAGAGCATTCTAGGTAATTGACGGGATTGCTCATAGGGCATGGACCTATAATAAATTTTAGCTTCTATATCACGTTCATATTTTAATATTTTTTGTTAAAAAAATTTCGTGCATCGATTAAGATTGAAATCTATACTTTAAGATGTTAAATTTTAAAGATTTTTCTTCGATCGCAAGTCATGCTTAAAAATTTAAGTGGTGGCTTATAATATATTTATAAACTATAAAATTTAATTTAATATAAACTATTGTCGATTAAATATAATATAAATTAAAAAAATTAATAAAAATAAACATTAGCTCAAATTATTTCACTTACTGAAAAAAAAAAAATTAGAACATGCCAAATATAAGTTTAATTCACCGACTCCTTTTATATAGGGAAAAGGTCAAAATGGTCATAATCGCATTTGTTGTAAATTACAGAAATTAAATGCATTTTTTGAACGAAATTTTACAGACAAAAATAAATAAATATAAGGAAAAGAAATGTTTAGGTAACTGAACCTAGACTGGCACCGTACAACAGAAATAAATTTCCATACAATTTCCAAAAATGAAAAAGGAAAAAGTAAAATAAAATAAAATAAAATCCTTTTTTCGTCCATTCGTACGGCCAATTGTTATCTCTCTCTCTCTCCTCTCTCCATAAAAACTCGTTTCTCCCGCTCGTACCTTAGGCCAGAGAAACACGCAAAAATGAAGCTCGTTTGGTCTCCAGAAACCGCTTCAAAAGCTTTCATCGATACGATTAAATCAGTAAGTTTCCCTCTGATCGCCGATTTGATTTGATTTTGCTCTTTCTAATTTCTCCGATTCTTTTTCTGATCGTTTTCAGTGCGAAAATTTCAAAGAATTCGGCGTCGCCGAGCTTCTTTCCGCTATGGCCGCCGGCTGGAATGCCAAACTCATTGTACATGCTTGCTCCACCGCCTCCTCCTCCGTCGTCACCACCATCGGCCTCTCCGTTGCGGCGCGACACACTGGCGGACGGCACGTCTGCGTATTGGCGGACGAGAGGTCGAAATCAGAGTACGTGAAGGTCTTGCAGGAGGCCGGCGTTTCGACGCCGGCGGAGATTGTGGTTCATGAGGCGGAGGCGGCGATGGCGGCGGTGGTCGGAGTGGACTTTCTGGTGGTGGATTGTAAGCGGAGGGATTTCGCTAGGGTATTGAGGTTCGTTAACGTGAGTGACAAAGGGGCAATTTTGGTATGTAAAAACACGTGGATTAGAAGCTTCGAGAAGATTTGCTATTGGGCGCTCCTCCCGAGGGGGATACGTGTCGTTAGATCGGTGAGTTTGCCGGTGGGTCAGGGGTTGAGTATTATCCATGCGGGATCATCGAACGGCGGCAGCAGCGTCGACAGTTCGATCTCGAAGAGCAAACTCAGCCGTTGGATGAGACATATTGATGAACGGTCCGGTGAAGAACACGTGTACCGGAAGCTAATCTGAACTGGTTTATTTGAAATGAATCGTAAATAAATAAAACCAGGTCGGACTAACCGGTTTGTTTGAGCTGAACCTCCAAATTCTTGAGAGCAACGTTGTAGACCTTCATGGTAGTGAGTAGGCAACGGATACCTTATTGTATCTAATTTGCACCTTTTTGATCCGAACACTCTCCCGAGTGAGAGTTATTAGGTACGTCAAAGATATGGAAGAATGCTCGATTTGTTGAAACTTTATTTCAGCACTTGCAAATACAAGTCGAAAAAGGAACTCAAGACGTCAAATTAAGATTTGAGAATAAAATTTTAGAGGAACCGATGAAATGTTACAACATTGCTCACGAATCTAATTTTTATTTATTATAAATTTTCTCGAGCATATGAAAGTCACACAATCAATCATAACCAAAATACAAAGAAGTCAACTCTTCCTTTTAACATGCTTACAACGATGCATAATACGTACTAAGAAGTTTCTGACAATAGTTGAGTTAGCCCAATACGATGCATAATAGAAAAGAGGTGAAATGACGATCCAACGAGACTATTATTGCCGGATCAAAGATGTAGGGGTTGATTTTTTTTTAGTGAAATCTTGTTTTAAGCTTGATTATAACCAATTCAGCGCAACTTTCACGACGACTTAAGATTATTATCTCGTAATTACCATAAAAAAATCAAATTAATGACGATAGCAGAATATATTTTTTTCTACGAACCCAAAATATTTTTTTTTATTCACAGTTTTTTTTTTCTATTCTATTTCAAATAAGTACTCTTTATAATATATCACCCAATTTTATTTAGTAAACAAAATTAAATTATGAGTGCAAAATTTAAATACAATAATTACTGAAAATGTTGGATGATGGTATAGCTAGACAACTCAAACCACGTAATTAAAATAAATAATAATAAAAAAAAGTTATATTTTAATAATAATAATAATAAAAATAAGAATATTAAAAAAAAAGTTCCAAAATAAAAGGATTTAAACGATAAATTTAGAGAAAAAGAAATTATTTGGTTGGTCCATGAAAAGCGATACCGAAGTTCCCGGCTTCACTTGCATTCCGCTTCCGAATATAACGACCTTCCCTTCCCTTTCATTTCTCCATTTTTTCTGAAACACAAATGACAAATTTCTCTCTCTTTCTCTCTCATTTCTTCTCTGAAATTTTTGTGTTTTGTTTGATCTGAACTTCATTGTACAGTGGTTGCAAAATCGTTTCTCATATCGTTGTTTTGCTGCTGAACAATGTCGTTCTCGGATTCCGATTCGTCCTCCGTTGGCGGAACTAATGAGTACAAGAACTTCCGTCAAACCAGTCGTGATCGTAAGCTTTTCTTCTTTGCTATTCTTCTCTTGTTACGGTCATTTTGGAGCTAAGACAATGGCGGAATGGAAATTTTAGCTCTTAGCGTTAACAATGCCTTTTGTTTTCTAATTCTTTCGTCCTCATCAGTCGATAAGTTTCCATTTGAACTAATTGAATTGCTGATTTGTATTGTATTAGTGTTTTATTGCATTTGTTTTGGAGTTAGAGATGCGGAGATCTATCTTTGTATACTAGAGTTCGGAGTCTTTGCACGAATTTGTCTAACTCAATAATTGCCATTATGAGCTGATTCAATTCCTCATCTGCATTCTATCGGTGTTTGATTTCGTTTGTTTTGGAGTTATGAGACGCGGAGAATCTTACAATTTTGGAAACTTGAAGTTTGGCGTCTTTGCAGAGCATAAGCTGTCCATTTGAACTGATTGAATTCTTCATTTGTGTACTATGGTGTTTGACGGCGTTTTTTTTTTTTTTGGAATTAAGAGATGCGAAGAATTCTGAATACTTCGAGTTTGGAGTCATTGCACTAGTTTGTGTTCTCTACAAATTGAATCTCTTTATAAGTCGATAAGTTGTTCATTTCAAATTGCTGAATTTCTCATTTGAATTCTATTGGTATTTGATTGAGTTTGTTTTGGAGTTTAAGAGACGCGGAGAATCTTATAATTTTGAACACTGGAGTTTGGCATTGAGGGAGGCATTGAAGAATCTGAGTTTCTGATATTGTTACGTGAATGCTTGTCCTCGATCAAGTGCGTTCTTATGACATACATTGAATTTTTCTCAGGATTATTGTTCGAAATGCTTGGAGCAGCCAATACGGAGAATTCAAAACCATGGAGGGTATGTTCTTTAAATTGTATTCGTCATTTTATATGTGCGATGGAACTTTTATAGCTCTGGAGCGTAGAGCCACTTTATTTATAAAATGTCTCCTCCTTTTCTTGTTCCTTCTTCAATGATCCTTCATTAACTTATATGCAGGTACTAATCATGGATAAAGTGACTGTAAAAGTAATGTCTCACTCTTGTAAAATGGCGGATATCACAGACCAAGGGGTTTCACGTACGTTCAATTTGCCTTTCCCATTATGTTTTTGTTTGTGTCATTTTTACACTTCGCCATTCATTTCCTTACCGTAGCTTCTATCTGAAATATAGTCATTTAACTTTTTGGGTATGTGGTGCGTTTCGTTATTTTGTAATCGTTGTTCTACATCCATCCTAATTTCTGTTCGTCATCTGCCAGGAAAATATTGAAATTTTCGGAATGCAGCAAGTTAGTTGCTTCACGAATATCAATAGTCATGCAGAAATCTTGATCTACTTTGTACCTTAAGCCGTTGTCTCTGTTTATGTTGGTTCACAATAGATTCTTCTTTTACTGCAGTCGTGGAAGACCTTTTCAGAAGAAGGCAACCATTGCCATCGCTGGATGCTATTTATTTTATCCAGCCATCCAAAGAGAAGTAAGATTTTTTTTTCTTTTTTTATTTAGTTCTTACATTTTGTGATTGTTCAACTCCTTGGGCATTCAATGATTAACAAGGTGGTAAAACTTTGTGTGGTTCCGAATCAAAGTCTTTTTGCTTCTTTGGTAGTCAGATTCTGCGTTCTGTAAATGCATGGTGTGCATTTCTGTCACACTTATTTCCTGGATCATTCTACCATCGAACTATCTTTCAATAGGATATGATGTTGAACCGTTTTACAATTTACTTTATGTATGCTATGAACTCTGAACTCTTTTTAACCGTATCTTTTTCTAGCATGCAGTGTTGTCATGTTCTTGTCTGACATGTCTGGAAGGGAACCTTTATACAAGAAGTATGTAAGATGGTTTAGTTTTCCCCTACAGTTTTCAATTATTAATTTGATTCGTTTCTAATGCTTTTCTTTTTCTTTTTCTTTTTCTTTTTATTTTTTGCTTCGTGTTTCAGGGCATTTGTGTTTTTCAGTTCACCCGTTCCAAGAGAATTTGTTAATCACATTAAGTGTGATACAAGTGTCTTACCCCGAATAGGTGCATTGCGCGAGGTTGGTATCTTCATTTCACTCTTGAAAGGCTTCTATTGAGATATATGATATTTACCACCAGTCTTTCTTTCCCTCATCTCATTTCTCCTTTCTTTTGTTTCCTCTAGATGAACCTCGAATACTTTCCCATTGATAGCCAGGTACTTGATCCGTTCGTATTTCTTTCTTCTGACGCTATCTTCTTATCCTGTAAGTGTACTGTAGTTGGAATTCTCTCCCACTGCTTTTAGTAGACGTTTAACATAAAGCATGCATGATTTGTGAATTTATTAGACGTTTGTGTGGACTCGGCGAGAATTATCTGGAACGTAAATTTTGGCACTATAGTTTTAGTCCTTTATGTTCACCGCAAGTTGTTCGGACACGAAGGAGCAAGTAATGTCTCCTTCCAGATCATCAAATTTATTCATCGTTATCCCAATTTATGGAATGGAAGAAAAGGGGACAATTTTCTTTTGTGCTTGCGTATCTGGTTCGGACAATGTTTGTGTCCTTTAGCTAAGGACCACCAGCTGAAGAAATTGACACATAAGCGAAGAGACACTAAAAAAAGCTTTTATAAAGGGAGTACAAAAATAGACACTTTTGAGAGTTTAGTATTAACGCTTGAAATCTTAAAACCAACCATCACCAAGTCTAAAGTATTAGAGCATGATCATATTAGTCTCACACAAACTTGACCAACAAGCATCATTTCGAGCTACAGGTTTAGTCAGATAGTGAAAAATTAGACTAGAAACTTTGACTGGAAATTTAGACTGTTATGTAGAGATGAATTACAATTCCTATGTTATTATTATACTTTTAATATCTTGACCTGGCTGCTTTATCTAACCACTGGGACTACTCATTTGAAGTCAGAAAACTAAAAAAATCTTCCGTAGATAAGCGTAGAATAGATACCTTTTGTTTATCTAGCTTGCCAATTACAGTCAGGCAATGAAATTTACTTGCAAGTATTAAAGATATTATGTGATGCTTTAACATCTTCCATGTGCAAAGTAAACTTCACTTTTCGGTTTACAACGAACAGTGAACTGACAATGACCTTTATGCAGGCCTTTATCACTGATCACGATAGGGCATTGGATGATCTTTTTGTTGAATCTGAAAATTCTCGTAGATTTGATAATTGCTTGAATACAATGGCGACTAGAATCGCTACTGTTTTTGCATCACTAAAGGTATGCCACTTTAGGATGATGTGTCTACGTTTATAGTGATTGGTTCTGAGTTTTTATTGAATTTGAAGTATACATGGATTAGAGCGATTATCTGTTGCAGCAAATACCAACTATTATTTAGCAGCATGCCCTGCTGACTTAATGAACTCATATTTTCTTACTCTGATTTGGTTTTCTTCCCGCTTAATTTCTAAATTTTGAAAACTATAGCAGACATTTAGCTAACATTTGTTCTGAATTCGGCTGTATATTAAGACAGTTAATTTCTGTTATAACATAAATTGGGATTAATGATGAAAGGCCCTTATCACCACCTTGCTACACCAAATTATTACTTTGTCATGGACCAAAACAATCAAAGATAACAAACTACAATTGTTCCGTATATGATGTTTAAGGATTGATACTTATGAAATCCTTTCCTCTCTTTAGGAGTTCCCATTTGTGAGATATCGAGCTTCCAAGGCTTTGGAGGATCCCACTGCAGCATCACTTCGTGAATTAGTACCCACAAAACTTGCTGCTGCCGTATGGAACTGTATTTCCAAGTATAAATCTACCATTCCCAACTACCCTCAGTCTGAAACATGTGAGCTGCTCATCTTGGATAGATCCATTGATCAGGTTACTTTAATTTTCTGTTTCAGTGATGATGTAATTTTTGTCTGGTTTGTTTATTTAATGTTTTGAACTCAAACTATAGATTGCCCCTGTTATCCATGAGTGGACTTATGATGCTATGTGTCGGGATTTGTTAGAAATGGAAGGAAATAAGTACATATATGAGGTATGAACCTCATTATGGATGTGCCGACATCATTTTCTTGCTCAATTTTCGGGCGTTTTTCCTTTTTTTTTTTCAAATATAAATTATACACAATTGTGCTCATAGGTATCCAGTAAGACAGGAGGTGATCCTGATAAACGAGAGGCCCTTTTGGAAGACACTGATCCAGTTTGGCTTGAGCTTCGACATGCACATATTGCAGATGTATGTCCTATCCATTGAGATTTTGCCCTATCACATGATCTGTTGGTTCATTTTCTCTTTTCACCAACTGATATAACAGGCTAGTGAACGTTTACATGAGAAGATGACCACTTTTGCATCTAAAAACAGAGCTGCGCAAATTCATCAAACTGCAAGGTTCATTTCTGCGCTGTTTATATTGACTTTTCAGATTTCATTTTTTCATTTAAAACAAAATATAAGTTTGTCATGGATTTTGGTTCTCTAAGCTGTCATCAATTTGACACTACTTTTACTGTTTCTAAATTGAAAACCATCTATTTCCCGTTTTTCATATTACTAGCTCTTAAATGTTGAAGTTGCTCTTTTCAGAGATGGTGGTGAAATTTCTACACGAGATTTACAGAAAATGGTTCAAGCTTTACCACAATACACAGAACAAGTGGAAAAGATTACTCTTCATGTTGAGGTTTGTTTCTCATGTTGGATGAGGTTATGTTGCTTCCACTTTGAGAACTAATCTTATATGTGATTAGCTTGTCCCCCTTTTTCATGCTCTGGAAATTCAGTTTTGTAAGTTATTACATCTGTCAACTGTTGGGCTGAAATATTAATGAAGTTGAGAAGATATCATGCTTGGGTTTGATTAGGTCATTTTCCGCATTTGACCATTATCTTTTTTATCATTTGATATAGATTGCTGGAAAAATAAATACACTGATTAGAGAAATGGGACTTCGAGAGCTTGGACAATTGGAGCAGGATTTGGTTTTTGGTGATGCGGGAGCTAAGGATGTTATTAACTTCTTAAGGACAAATCAGGTCACATGCTAAAAGGAGTGAATGTTTAAAAAAGCTCAGTTAATTGTCAATAACCATTCTTCAACTTCTCTTTTCCTATGCAGAATGCAAGTCCAGAAAATAAATTACGTTTGTTGATGATTTATGCGTCTGTCTATCCTGAAAAGTTTGAGGACGACAAAGCTGCAAAGATAATGCAGGTAACAGAAGAAAGGAATTTATTTTGGTCTATGATTGGATTTTTATCCATAGAATGCTTAGCATTTCTCCTTCTTATAAATGATTTCCCCCATTTTAGCTTTCTTACTCGAATCTTCTCCTTGTGTCTTTGATCTATTTTAAAGATTGGCAAATTTTTTAGCAGTAGTTATTTGTGTATATCTAAGAATAACTGCATTTACTAATCATTTCAATTTTAAATTAGTTGGCTAAGTTAACAGCTGAAGATATGACGGTAGTGAAGAACATGCGGTTGCTGGCGGGGTCGGATTCTAAAAAGGCAACATCAGCTCATAGTTTCTCCTTAAAATTTAATGCACAGAAGGTAAGCCATAAGTTAATTGCCAGATATTACTAAAGTTGAAATATCGAAATTTAGAGCAAGCTGGTGAGAGCATCCCTACGATCTAACTCTTGTCTATGATCAGACTAAACAAGCAACAAGAAAAGACCGCACTGGTGAAGAAGAAACATGGCAACTATTTCGATTTTACCCCATGATAGAGGTCTGCAATAAGAATCTTTTCTTATTTAACTTACCGTTATTATTGCTTGGTTGTTAGTATTATTTCGTCCCAGACGTGTGCAAAATTTCGATGGTTAAATACTTACAGACGTTTTTATTATTCTTCAGGAACTTATAGAAAATTTGTGCAAAGGTGAATTATCAAAAAATGAATATTCATGTATGAACGAACCTTCTCCATCGACCACTAAACCTGCTGTCCCGAGAGGTAGTACTCAGAGTGCAACTAGCCAGACAAGTCAATCGGCTGGTGGTCCAAAATCAATGAGATCAAGACGAACAGCAAACTGGGCACGATCCAGTATATCTGACGATGGATACGGAAGGTCTAGCATATTTATTTATTTCAGAAGTGGTTATGCATTGTTAATACGAAAAAAGCTTTAAATTTTAAGTTCATCAACTCCCCCTAATACGTAAAATGCATATTGCCTTTTACAGTGACTCTATTTTGAAAGCAGCAACTCTCGACTTTAAGAAGATGGGACAACGTGTTTTTGTATTCATTATTGGTGGGGCTACTCGATCCGAGGTATGCTTTTGCTTACTCCCAATTACTTCGGTATTCTACATTTTCCCTCTAATTGATTTTTGTTCTGTAATTGTGTCACCTTTCAGTTGCGAGTTTGTCATAAGCTCACCGCAAAACTAAGGAGAGAAGTAGTGCTAGGTTGCTCCACTTTGGATGATCCTCCCCAATATATCATGGTAGTACTAATTCCACGCCTATTACCTTAATTCTCATATTCTGATACACATTACATAATAATACAATGCGCTGCTTCTGAGTTTCTTTATCTAATTGTTTCCTCTATTTTCAAAAATTTAGAGGGATATTTGTTAATAGGAAATTTAATTGTTTTTTTTTTGTTCATTGGCGGCTCACAATATGTTTTGAAAAATATTTTGCAGAAATTGAAGCGATTGTCGGAACCAGAGCCTCCAGTGGAGGCCCCGAAATTTTTTTAAAAGTGGTTGTGATCTACATTAATGGTCAAACTCTTTCTATTCTCCATGTAGTGATGTGTACTACTACTGCTTGAGCTAAATTCCGTTTCCCCTTCACAACAATTTAAACACAGTTGTGACTTTGGAGGAAGTAAAATAAACTTTAATCCCATTTTAAATTATATTCCTATTCTTTCCTTTTTTTTCTTTAGAGGTTTGCATTAATTTTGTTTTTGTCTTGAAAACATTTGAAGTATTGAATTATGCTTTAGTGTGATGAGCTGAATTTGGATTAAAGATTGAAAAGGTATCGAACCTTGTTCACGACAAGTGTAGACAAAAACAAGCTTACAACTCTCTTCCATTATTCGTATTTAAATCCTTGCTTTATATTAAATTTTGTTGCACTAGTTCGTTTCAGATTTGATACTTGGTGCATACTTGGTGCAGTTATACTAGACTTAAAACATTTGTAATCCAGGAGATAATCCAAAAACTCTTGAAGCTTTGAAATTTTCTCCAAGAAAGTGATAAGTTCACGAATCTTATATTTCAAGAAAATATAAATAATCCTTTTGGGTACAATGACAATCTTATATTTCAAGAAGAATACAAATAATCCTTCTGAGTATGATGACAATCTTTAAGTATAATTCAAATCATACTCGATATGTTAGTATGATAATCATTGAACTAGTTTTGGGAATTTTGTTAATTTTTCCTTTCATTGAATTTTGAATTAAAAAATAAAAAAAAATTAAAATTTCTAAACAAAGCTTAAAACTGGACAAAAATAAAAATTAGAGAGGAAAAATATTATTTATAATTAAAATTTAAAAAATAAGAAACAAAAAACAAAAAGTAAGGAGGTTACCAAATAGATTTAGATGTAAAATTTAGAGTTAAAAAATGAATAGGAGAATTCCAAGGACTAAATTGTAATTTACTATTTTTTTTTTATCCCCTGAAAAATCGGCATTTTAAACACGCGTCCATTCTAAATTCTATGGCGTGGAACGCTTTTGGTCTGTTTTTGTATTTTTCCAAGGTCAAAAGAGAAAGACGGTTCGTCTGCGCGTCAAAAATTATGTGGGCTATAAATATCAAATGCCCCTTCATACCATAATTCAATTCAATCCCACAGTGAATGCCCACAGATTTTGAGCAGGTGGACGGTGATAAACCAGTTTTTCCCTCTCAAGCTTTTCACAATGGCTTCAATGGCGTCTTCCAGCCCTTATTGTTTCTGCAGTCGTTACAGAAAGGTTCGTTCACGCTCTGTTTCCACTTCCACCTTCCCCCGTATCCTCCTCTGTCACAAGCCGGAAAACCGCGACAAATCGCCTGAAAACATCAATCGAAGGTACTCTCTCTCACGCTCTGTGTTTCGATGTGAACTGGTGTCTCTAAATGTTAATTGTTTTCGTCTTGTAGGGAAATAGTTTTGCGGAGCAGTGAGTTAGCGATCATTGGAGCGATTTTTAACTTGAGGTATGTCTCGCTGTTTCCGATTGCTGCTCATTTCAACATTATCCTTTTCCCTTTTGAGTAGTCATAATTCGAGCGGCCATCTTTTTAATCGGACGAATTGATGAAATTTGTTTCTGTTGCTGCTGTAATTGAAGTTAAATGATTTGTGCTAACTTTGTTTGTGGCTTTGAAACCTCATATTATCTCACGTTGTGGTGTTAATTTATCAATTTGTTCATTCATGTTTCTTTTTCAATTAATCGCCCTTCTCTTTGCAACATTAGAAGATTTGTTCAAATTATACGCGTTTACTGTCCATTTCATACTCTTGAAACTTTCAATTTGCTAATTTTACTTACATTGGTCACTACAGTACCCGTCGAGCCCACATCACTGTTGTGCCAATCTTCAATACCAGACTTTTGAGTCTAATACACTAAATTATTGAGACCAAACTTTAAATTTTGAGAGTATAGGTTCTAGTTTCACACAAACATAAAAGTAGGAAGACTAAAATTATCTTCTAAACCAAAACCTAAGACCCTCATTGATCACGATTTTGTTTTTATAATTAAGCTTGTTTCCTCGGCACATTTCTTCCACAAAAAACAATTGAATTCTATGCTACATTTCAAAATTTGGCAAACGTTTTTGAAAAGTAGGTAACTAAATTAAGAAGAACATAGGTGGAAGTTAAGTATTTGAAAAAAAAGGGGAAGTAGATTTTGGGAATTTGTCTCTAGTTTTAACCAGGGGTAAGAGTTTTGTTTGAGCAATGTTATCTGTGTTTGATGCAGTGGGAAAAAGCCTGAGTATCTTGGTGTGCAGAAAGGCCAACCAAGTTTGGCCCTGTGTCCAGCAACTAGAAACTGCATCTCTACTGCAGAAAATGTCAGCGATCTCACCCATTATGCTCCACCATGGTAACTCCATCTTCCCACTTAAATACTATTCTTTAAGTTTCATTCAAGTTTTGAAAACACTTCTTCCAATTAAGAGATATTGACCCTTTTGCTGTTATCATTTTTATTGATTGGGTAAAATACATTAACACTGTTCATCACATGTAATCATATGTTATGCTGTTTGAGACTAGCTACGGTGTCAATTTTCTCATTGTTTGTTCCATTTTAATCATGTAATGTAAACTGAAAAAATCAATTTCAACTACAAAATCAAAATTTGCGCAGTAAGTTAACGAATTTTCTCTTCCGTAGAACACGTTTTCTTACTTCCACCAAAAAGTGAATAAACTACTTGGTGGTTGATAGTGTAGTACAAGTTTGACTCTATTTTAGATAGTGGACTCCATATGTCTGCATCAAACTTTTTCTTAAAGTGATGCATTTAAAATGTGATAATTTAAAAATGGATCTTGATAGGACCAGGCAGTCTATTGTCATATGATGGATATATTGGCCAAACCATACTAAAGCAAAGCCAAAATTAAGCACAACATATTAGACCTTTGTAGTCCATATTCTATAGGACGGCGCCACTTTCAGTTTTCACATGCAAGGAATTAGAATTCGCTTCTTTTTGGAACCCAAAACTCATGCCTTTTTATGAATAATAAGAAAATTGGATGTGATCAATAGTGATATGATGATGCACGTTTTTATTATTATATTCTGATATGTTTGAAAGGTACTGTGCTTCTACAATCTCAGGCGAAGCTTAATGACGAGCATTGAACTATGCGATTGGGAATTTATGGACTCGATTCTGTTGATATCTTAATAGTTCTAGATTGATGAGATGCGATCTTGTTGTTTCGATTCTATAATCCAAGAATCATCTCGTGTTGTGATTATCAAATTCGTTTTAACTTTTTAATTTTGGTAGGTGCTACAATCCAGAAGAAGGAAGAGGCAAGAAAAACCCTGTTAGCAGAGAAGTGGCAATGCAGGAACTGATCCAAGTGGTAAAAACCAAGAATCTCTCCTTCCATCTTTAATATTTTGGCTTATTTTGCTGTAACGAAAATGCAAATCGATTAGTAACAGTCTATGAAATCCTCTGTTTCATTGCAGATAAAATCAACAAAACCCGATAAGTTTACGCCGAAGATCGTAGAGCAGAAAGATGACTATTTATTAGTGGAATACGAAACTCCCATAATAGGGGTATGTTTAAGTTTTAAACTCATCTGAAGTATAGACAACCTTTTGGCACTTACTGAAAATGACCAACTTTCTTTGAACAAATTAGTTTGTGGACGACGTCGAGTTTTGGTTTCCACCAGGCAAGAAGTCGATAGTAGAATACCGATCAGCATCCCGAATCGGGAACTTCGATTTCGATATCAACAGAAAGAGGATCAAGGTGAGTGAATTCCCGGCAACAAAAATCTTCCATCTTTTGTTTGTTTTTGGAACTCTGGGATCTAAAACAAGCGTTTGCTAATCCACTGATTTATGGGTATGCGTAATAATTTCAGGCTTTGAGATTGGAATTGGAGAAGAAAGGATGGGCTACAGTTGACAGTTTTTAAGGTGAAGGGAATAACTCCTTTACATAATTCTTTCAAACTTTCCATTCATTTCATATTGCAATTCATGTTTCAGGAAAATTCTATATTTCTTGAGGAAATATTAAATGGAGGGTAGTGTTCTTTATGCAATCCCTCCTACATCTCAATTTGTTGATATAATGGGCCCAAAAAATTGGCTCCCACAAGCTCGTATTACATATGTGCACCCTTTGATCTCCATCTTGGAGGAATTTAGCTACACTCTGTATTGAGAATCGAATCGAGGAGATAAAAGATATCTAGATAGAATTTATGGATATACTTGAGAAAATTAATCTCCATGATGAATTTGAGCATAATTCAATGAATAAGATATTTAGATAGAATCTATGAATATCTTGTCTTCCGTTTTATAGTTGAGAAAAGTAATCTCGATGATGAATTCGAGCACAATTCAGTAGATAAGATATCTAGATAAAATTTATGTATGTATTGTCTACCATTTTTTAGTTTTATACTTAGATCTCGATGATGAATTTGAGCTTAACTCGGTGGATAAGACATCTAGATAGAATCTATGTATATCTTGTTTACCATTTTTTAGTTTTATATTTGAGAAAATTAATATTGATGATGAATTCGAATATAACTTGGTAGATAAGATATCAAAGAGGGGATAAACTAAATAGGGTGGGTCCCCTTATTTGTGATATTATTATTATCCTTTTTTATTTTTTTTCTTTAATTTGGATGTTTTTGTTTTTGTTTGTGTTTTCTTCTTTTTAAGAAATCAGAATTTTTACACCAATTAAACATTTCTCTTTTTAGTTTTTTTAAAAAGACAAAAGTTAAAGTTTGTTTGTAACCCTCCAATTTATTCAAATTGAATTTTGGCAATGAAGTTTGAAATAAAACAAATTGCCTCTTTTAAAAATTGGATTTTCTTCAATTTATTCCAAGTGAATTTTTGAAATAAAATATTCAAAATTGGATTTTTGAAATAAGAACCTTTATTTTTTTTTTAAAAAAATTGAATTTTGAAAATAAATTTAGAAATGGAACAAATGCCCAAAATTATATATATATATTTTAATTAAGGACCCTCCAACTTTTTAAATTGCCTCCTTTTAAAAAAATGAAGTTCCTAAATAAGAACCCTCCGTTTTTAAGGTTTGATTTATAATAATAAAAATCCTCTAAAAATCAAGATTTTAAGTGGAAAAGTTTGCTTGAAATTAAAAAAAAAAAAAAAATGATTTTCTAATATTATTGAAAGAGGATCTTATCTTTCAATTTTAAATAAATTCCATCATTTTTATAATTGCCTGGAGACCCCTCATAGTTATTAAAAATAAAACACAAAAATATTTTTACCTTTAGATCACTAATAATAATAATATGGAATAAATCTTTTATTTCGAAAGAAAATTTTAAAGTGAGATATCATTTCTTGTGTATGACGTTGCATTATCTAATCAGTGTCTCTTCTCAAAAGAAAAATATTTTAGTCATATCTTCTATGGAACAAATTAATATTAAACTATATTTCAACAAAAAAATATATTATATGAATCTACGCATATCGTATATATGAAATTTCTTAATATTTAATAATGTATTAAAATTAATGAGAGGAAGTGACATTTAAAAAAAAAATCAATAAAAGTTAAATTATGCCCAAATTGGAAAATAAGATTATAATGTGAACTTCATGTTTTAATTACATAATATAAATATTAGAAGTGATAATCAACATCATCAAGAACTAACCAACTTTTATTATTTATTTACATTTTTTTTTCATTTGTGTTGGTAAGAAAAACAAACAAGAACACAAAACCAAATCCAAATCTTAACATTAATGATCAATCACGAGAAATTTGTCACAAACAAATTCTTCTCTCTTTACATCATCTCAATAAACTTTTGAGCTTTCTTCTCAAAATCATCTTGAAACCTTTCATCACCGTCTTCATCACAACTATCATAAACATAAATATTATGAGTGATCAGTTCATCGTCACGTCTATCATAATCTTCATAGCTCTCTACCTGTTCTCCTATCCCTTTTTCTTCACTCGGTGACTGCTTAAACTTCTCGCCAAAGAGGATGAACATGATAGCATTACATGCAAGAAACGCCGACCCACGACTCGATTTCACTACCCGAATGATTTCGTACAATTGAAGGATGGAGTTTGGATGCTTCGAACTCTCATAGAAGAAGAGGAAGAAACTTAATGTAATAATGATTGAAAGAAGCAAAAAAAAGAATATGGGAAGTTTGTTCATGCCTCTCTTGAATACAACAAACAATTGGATCTTTGATTATGGCTGTTGGGTTTCAATTTCAAAGGCAAATATATTTATAAACATATTTTAATACTTTATTTTCATTGTCAAATTAAACCTTCACACGCAAGAAATAAAATTTCCTACAACGTTACGCGGCTTTGGAGAGAACCTAATGACCAAAACATTGCTGTTTTGGAGATCAATTGAATGCGGCTTTGGATCGATCGGGTGGGCGGGGGGGCGGGCACTGGCCGGTCTTTCGGTTGAATCCCTTATAAACCGTACGTGCGGGTCTCTCTGTATGCAGCTCACGTTATGAATGTGAATTTGGAGATCAATCGAAGATTGAAACATTGCAATTTGGTGCATTTACGAGGGAGAAGATTAGATTTTGAAAAAAAAACCATAACATTTTCGTGTTCAGATTTGAGATAAGTTGTATTTTGATGTACAAGTATACGTGTGAACTTTGATTTATCATTCCATCCATACAAGACATTAGTAAAATAAAAAATAAAAAATAAAAAATATATATTTATTATTATTATTATTCCTTAAAATTTTAACATTTTTTTAAAAATCTTCTTATTCAATCACAATTATTCCTTAACAGATAAACCATTTTAATTAATTATATTCGTATTAACAAATTATTAATTGGTTTATAAGACTCCATTTTTTAAATCTAAAAAAACATTATAGACTAATTATCTATTTAGCCTAGAAATATTAACACGAAGAAATTACCATGAAAAACCAAAACAATAAATTTAAATTATTGGAATGATTTAGTCAGCGTTTTGTTGTTCACGACCATGTTGACTTGGTAGAATTCGACTCTTTCACTATCACCATGATTTTGGTAGAATTTTCGAGGAAATTTAACATGGATTCAAGTAAGTCAAATATTTTATAATATTTGAATGAATTTTAAATACGTAAAATATATTTTTAATTAAAAATAGTATTTAATTTTTGTAAAAATCATTAAATTACTGTCGATTTGACTTTTTTGATCGAGTCAAAGAATCATCGTACACATTTCAATAGGAAAAAAGGAGAGAGAACCACCAGGCCCAACCACTCGATATTGGGCCTCATAACCGAAAGCAATTGTAGGCTTGGACCAAGCCTGCCTAAGGGTTAGCCCACGAAGCCCAACAGCCATGGCCCAGTCCATTTACACATGGTCCAACTCGCTTAACCCATGATCCATTACCGTATCTCATTGGAAATTCATGTCATGAAAATTATGGAAGTATAATAAAAAATTATGGCCCATATATAAATCATGATTTTAAGTATGGACGTCATGCATGTTATAAATATTGAGCCTCGAGTACTTACTTTCTCAAAGTGGAGAAATATAACTAATAATAACATGATGGTGAAGCCTATCTTAGACAATTTAGAGAAACGTCAAGTACCGATATACTGAACCTAAGCTTAGGCCGAGCAAAGTTAAGTTGAATAGGGTCGAGTCTATCAAACCCATCTTAGAATAAAGCCCAATCCATGGCTGAGGAGCGTCGAACTAGCCTAAACTCAACCCTTCTTGAAAATCCACTCTCCCGAAAACGCTAATTCAATAGGATGGGAGGGCACATCTCCAAGGTATGCTCACAAAATCCTAGATGACTTAAGGATCGAAGCGAGTGTGGTTGAGCACCAATCTATTTTGGAAGAAGTCTCATACATTTTCTAAGTTGAGTTCGTGCATATCTAGGTAAGTCACTTCATACATCAATAAGAGCTAAGGATTTTTCGATACTCTCAATCAATGTCAACTTTAAATATGATCTCTATTAGATAATTCAAAGGTGTACTTAAAGTTTTGTGGTGTGTTTTACGTAGGTGTTGATTAATACTGCGAAAGTTGCATATATCTGACACAAAAGCAACTTTGGTTTGATACTCACGGATCACAAATAGATACCCTATAGGGTCTCTAATATATATGTCCTAACTCTAAGCTTCACAAATAGATACCCTACGTTACCTCAAACATGTACCCAAAACAATTATACAACTACTCAATTTCAATTTCGTCATCATTTAAATCAACACAATTTAGTGTTCGACACAAATTTAATATATATATATATATTTTTATCATTGAGTTCTTCGTTGTGGTTGAAAATCAAAAGAACAATATTTTATAGTTTGATAAAAATTGATAAATAGGCTTACGATTGAAAAATTAGCAGATTAAATATTTAGATGGTGTGGGTTAAGTAGCAATAACAGATTGAAAATTAGTGATTTAATGCAACTTTTTGAAAATTAGCAGATCGATTAGATTATTATCTCGTAAACGACTTAACTCATACAATTAACTATATACAAAAATTTACTTCATGGACACATAGATAGCTAATTAGCATGTACTCAATATGTCATTGATTTCTGACCGTAGCACTTATTATAATATGTCATCACTTGACCGGTAGCACTCAACGAGATTGATACAATACAGTTGTTTCTTTAAAATCGTCACGTGTAGACCTTAAATAATGTTGGTCTTATAATAATTACGAGAAATAAAAATTGTCAACCGCCAAAACTATCAGTTTCATTGTGTCAACCTCCTCAAATAATTTCTCCCGACCATAGGCCCTTAACTTTTGCACCATACAACATTGGTGCAACCCTAATTTCCCTCGTTGGAACCAAGTTAATCATTTTGGTTTCGATATTTTTTTTGTATCAAAATGTTCGATATAATTTAAAATTGGTCTCGTTAGTTTTTATAAAAAAATTAGATCAAATCTTGAAGCCCATCAGATATTGTTCGCTCTGACCCATTACATATCGGTATGTATAAAAAGTGTCTTTCTGAGTTACACAACGAAACTAGTACTCATTCCGACACTGTCCTCTTTGGTTTCTCCATACGCGTCTATTAGAGAGAAGTTTTCATACCGTTATAAAGAATGTTACGTTCTGTTTTTCAACCGATGTGAGATCTCTCCAACCTTTTCATTCCAAATTTGTAACGTTTCGTTTCAAAAATGTGACGGAGGAGGTGACGGATTTTAGATTATATTTGGAAAGTTTTTCTTTACGACAAATTGCAATTTCAGTTCATGCACAATTAATTAATCTGTCAAACTCGTTGAAGGAGTTGGTAAATCACGTCACTTCCCAAATTTTAAAAAAATATGAATGTAACGGCTACATTTTATCAATTTGTGTTCCTAATAAATTCCGCTAAGCTTAATTACTAATTAAATTAATTATCTAAAAAAATTAATAATTCAAAGAAAAATAATAAATTAAATATATGTGTGCTAAAAAATGAGAAATTTGATTTTCTTTTTCTTTCATAATTCAAAGAAAAACTAATTAGCAAATTGGCATTAAAAAAAGCAAATAATAAAAAATAAAAAAATCCAAGGGACCTTTATGCAAACATGCACAATAAATATATTTGCCAAAAGTTTTGACCAAAAGGGACTATTGAAGTACTAAATGAAAAATGTAGGGGTAAGATTTAATTAATTATTAGTTTAGGGTCTAAATAAATATATTTCATTGACCCCTTTTCCATTTAATTAAACTCAAATTAATTAAAAAAAATTATTGTCTTTTATTTTTATAATTTATTTTTGGAAGTTTTTATTTGACTTTTATTAACTATATTGGAAGCTGAATTTGCCGTTTGCTTAGGCGACATGGTTTAATTTAATACACATTTCTTAAGCCCTTAAATTTGGGGAAGTAATCATAACCCAAAGTATTTTTATTTTTACATGCATTTTAGGGACCATACTTTATGAATTCTAGGTTTTGGTCACACGGTTTGGGAACTCGTGGGGCGAATTTTATTTATTATATCTCAAATGTTTCGTTGAAAAACATTTTTAGTCTATTTAGTTTGATCGACGTAACGATTCAATCTTTGAATTTTAGATTATAACGATTTAGTCATATACGTTAGTAGATAACTGTAATGTCCCACATTGGTTGGGGAGGAGAACAAAACACCATTTACAAGGGTGTGGAAACCTTCCCCTGGTAGACGCATTTTAAAGCCGTAAGGGGAAATTCGAAAGAGAAAGCCCAAAAAGAACAATATCTGCTAGCAGTGGATAGTTGGCTAAAGCATTAAATAAATACTAGATAATCCCACATGGATTAGAGAGAGTAACGAGTGCTAGCGATGTTGGGCTTCAAATGGGGTGGATTGTGACATCCCACAATCTCACGTCGGTCGGAGAGGTGAATGAAATATTTTAAAAATTTTTGGGGGAAGCCCAACAGTAAAATCATAAAGAAGATAATATCTGATGGGCTTGGGCTATTGTACTGATTATCTAACCTAATTGATTTGGGTTGAGTTCAAATAAATTTTTGCAAATTTTAATTCAATGTTTAAAAATAAATAAATGTTAATAAAACTAATGAATAATCGACACGAACAATCTAATCAACTCGGCTCAAATATTTTATAATTAGGTTGAGTTGGGTTCATTATAGAATAAGGGTTAAAAATTTACAACTTTATATATAATATTATTTAATCTTTTAAAAGTTTAAAAATAGTAAAATTAATATTAACAAATTATGACATTATAACAAAATACACATAATAGGCTCATAAACTTACAAAGGATTACAATTTTTTTAAATTAATTTATAATACCTAAATTCAAAACTAATTTATATTTATTCTCTATTTAAATTGAGTTTTTATTGGATAAATTTTGAAAAATTAAAATTTTGAACGTTATGCGTTTTTTCCTTATAATGAGCTTAAACTAAGGCGTAAAGCTACTTTAGCTGGTCTAACTTCAATAATAGCAAGTTGTTCGGGTACTGATATCGATATTAAATGGATGCTCATAACTATTGGGATAGCTTCAAGAACAGTAAAAGGAAACCAACTTTATTGAGTAACCGTTGCAAAAATTCAAACTTTCTGAGCCTTCACGCTTTCATTACACATATTCGTCATGGACTTGTTGCATATTTAGAAATTTGTTTCAAAACGTCCACCAGAAAATGCTCGCGTGCAATTTTCTCGTGAGTCCCAAAAAATTATTCCAAATGACGCATTATTTATGACATTCATACGTCTAAATATGTTAATAAAATAATAATTTAATTATTCTTTAATGTAAAATTTCAATTTACTGTAAATATATTAGAAAATTGAGACGGTGATTAAATTAAATATAATAAAATTTAAATTAAAGGTAAACTATAATTTTAAAATTAATTTGTATTAAAACTAATTAAAATTTTAAAAATTTAAAAATAAAAAATGAATATTATAATGTTAAATTTTTGTGGAAAATGGAGATTTTTGTTAATATTTGATAAATTAGAGAAATGGAGGTTTTTCACATGTTGCGACGTGGCGTAAATAAAAGGAGTGCGATGACGTAAGCGAATGAAATCAGAGAATGGAAATGAAGGCATGAGATTGTGACACGTGGAAATGATCTGATGGGATCCAATAGAACACGTCTGTCACTGCTTCCTCTTCACACCGCACGGATTGGACAAAAGCCGGACAGCGCGGTGATGCGCCGTTACGAACTGTTTACATATTTCTTTTTCCTTTTTCCTTTTCAGAGATAATGATGAAATTAATTATTTTTTTATTTTTCACCACAATTTTATATAAATAGATAATTACTAGTTAATTTATTTTTATTAAGTTAAATGATTAAACTAATTTTTAATCTAATTTTCATTCATTAATAACTATTTTTAAATAAATGATTTTATAAAATTATACATGTTATATTTTAAAAATTAAATATAATTAATTTATTTGGGTATGTCTTTTATATTTTGATTAGAAGAGTGTTAGAGAATTAGGGGAGCATGGCTAAGTTTTTTATATTTAAATAGAAAGAAAATGATTAGGTCAAATAGTCGCAATCAACCTTGCTTTTAAGTCTAATAATAATAACAATAATAATAATTAGTCTAAGTCACTTAAGTAAATATAAAAATATATAAAATTAAGAAGAATAAATTATAGTTTTTAAGCGAATTTTGTTGTTGAACTCAGGTCAACCACAGTATAGATAAGGTAAGACTTAAATTATATATTTTTACTGATTATTGGTAATAAAAAGTAAAAGAAAATATATAAAATGAATAAATAAATAATTAAAAAGAAAGAAAGACGTTACATTATATGCATATATATCGTTTAAACGGCGCGTGGGGCCCTTACTCTGAATGTGAGGTAATCAAATAACCCGGCCGTTGCATGGTAGTCACCGACTCAGACGTGGCGTCCGGAAATTGGTACAGGCTGTCTTATGGACCCCACTTTGAACGCCGAACTTCTCATATTTTGACCTTCTTCATTGGCCCCCTCCTCTTAAAATATTAAAAAATAATAAAAAAATGTTATTTTCTTTCCCCTTTTTGGCTGTTTATAGTAAATGAAAATAAAAAAGGTGAGTCATATTCAATTCACCCCATATGAAGAAAAATAAAAATAAAAAGAAAAAAGAAAAAAGAAAATAAAGTTGACGTCTTTTGCCCTCCACGCAGCTTAAAACACGCAGTGTGGCAAAAAATAGACAGTCTGTTAGACACGTCGACAAACCTACCAAATTCAGATTTTTATTTAAATAAAAAAAATAAATAAATAAATTATTATAGGCCCAAAAACTCACGAGGGATTTCAAGCTAGAGAAGAATTTAAAAAAAAATAAAAAAAAACAAAAAAGAGTAATATTTAGTAATAGGGCTTATCGCATGTTTGCTTCACGCAAGCAGCTAAATGTAGGTGTTAAGGCTTTGCTCTCTCGCGTGGCTTTAAAGACTTTCTTATTTATTTATTTTAAAAAAAAAAAATATTGCTGTTTTTAGCTCTTTATAAGTCCCTCAGTTAATTTAAAACATTTCTTGTGCAAACACCACAATTTTCCACCAAACCCTAAAAAGCCCTCTTCTTCTTCTTCTCTCTGCTCCTTTTCACTCCATCTCCTCCTTTTTCTCCTGAAAAATGAGTGCCAACCCTAGTACTAGCGGCGGCGGAAGTGGCGGCGGAGGAGTAGGTCTGGGGAGTGGGAGTGGGAGTGGCGGCGGGGGAGGGCCATGTGGGGCCTGCAAGTTTCTTCGAAGAAAGTGCGTTCCAGGGTGCATATTTGCCCCATATTTCGACTCGGAACAAGGCGCCGCCCATTTCGCTGCTGTCCACAAGGTGTTCGGAGCCAGCAATGTGTCCAAGCTCCTCCTCCATATCCCTATCCATAAGCGCCCCGACGCCGTGGTCACAATTTGCTACGAGGCCCAGGCTCGCCTCCGAGACCCTGTCTATGGCTGTGTCTCCCATATCTTTGCCCTTCAACAACAGGTAAGTAAATACTACCCTACTCTACCCTTCAATCGGTAAAGGATAAAGCTACTTAATTCTACTACCCTCCCACTTTAATTTATTATTATATTATTACCAAATCATTTCCCCGGCGGTTACCACGGTAATATACCATAATTAAATTCCTTTTTTTCTTTTTCCTTTTCTTTTTCTTTTTTCAAATAAACATTTTCTGGGTATTTATTTATTTCTTATTTGCAGTTATTAAGGAGCTGGTCGGGCTATTGCCTTAAACTTAAGCTTTTCATTACAAACAACACTCATTTCCTACGTTTCCCCCAATATTCAGCTTCCTGTCAGTGTATCTTCTAAACCAAATCATAATTTTTTTTTAAAATAATATTCTCTACAATTTTAATTCTTATAAGTTTTGGTCAAAATTAGAATTTTATAATGAATTAAATGATTTTTTGGAAACTTTTTTTAAGTAAAAGAAAATGTTTTCCCTTTTATTGTTTTTTTTTTATATAAAAAAAATTAAAAACCAAAAATAGTTTTTATATAGTTTGGATTATTTAATATATTTCTTTTTTTAAATCTATGTATGTATACTGCATATATAGCAATACCTACTACGTAAGTATCTTTGTACTATTATCAGTATGGTTGGTAAATATTTGTTTGAGATGAAATAAAATTAATTTTAATACTTTATAATTTCCATTTTTTAAAATTATTTGCTAATTTTACTTATATTTGTTTCTAAAAATAAAAAAGAACCTTGGCGTTAAACAAGCCCTAAGGGTATTTTTATATATTTTAAAAGAATTCTAGTAAAATAGAAAAAGCTAAAACTAGTTCAATTTCCACTTTAATTTTGTTTGTTTTATTATTTATTATTTCTTTTTCCTTTTATTCTTATTTTTAGTTGAGTGTAATCTACTCTCAATAATTTATTTCATCTTAAAACTCTCTCTCTCTCTATATATTATATATTAATTAGTTGAATTTTTTAATTTTATTTTTTAGGGAAATATGCAATAAGAATTAAACAAAAAATTAGAGTCAAGCCTAATAAATTTTTTTATTTTGAATACAGTAAAAAATACTAAATGAGTGATATGTATTTCTTTACTTGAATTATGAAATTTAAAAACATTATGATTAAGATTTATATGTTAGTTATGTATTTTAAAATTTATTTATTTTTGTCGTGTAGTTAAATTAGTTTATTTTAAATTTATTTTAGTTTTTATTTTTTTTTTTTAACTTTTGATCTATTTTTGTACTTTCATATTAATTTATGTGAAAATAATAGTAAACATAATAAAATTTAAATGTTTATAATGTTAATATGTAAATTAAAAACTTTGCAGGTGGTGAGTTTGCAAGCCGAGCTGTCGTACCTCCAAGCCCAACTAGCATCACTGGAACTGCCGTCGCCACCAAACCCGCCACCTCCACCTCCACCACCAAGTTTCCAAGGGGTACCGCCGCTTTCCATCTCAGACCTGCCATCCCCCCCCTCCCTGCCAGCCACTTACGACCTGTCGTCCCTCTTTGACCCAATGGCTCAGCCTGCCTGGGTCTTGCCACAGCAGCGCCTCGACCCTCGCCAGTTCACCGGGGGTGGAGGCGGCAGTGGCGGTAGCAGCGGCTTGTCCACTGTGGCCGGAGAAGGCGATCTTCAAGCCTTGGCCCGTGAACTCCTGCATAGACACGGCGCTCCACCAAGCTCCGACTCCTCATCGCCGCCGTCCGTCTCTAAATAAAATCAAAACCCTTCATTTTCTTTGAATTTCTTGCCTCTTTGATTTCACTTTTGTCAAAAATTGAAGGGTTCCTGAGTTTTAAGTTTTTCTATAAAAAAAAAAAAAAAAAAAAAAAAAAAAAAAAAAACACAATAGTTTAGACATGTAGCTATATTAGTTTTTCAATTTACATGTCAAGCTGTTGGTGTTTTTGTCAACCACAGTTAGGTTAGTTGGTGAGTCTCAAAAATAATGATCTCAAGAATGGTTCAATTAAATAAATGTTCTATAAAACATTACTCAAGACTGGTCTATGTTACTCTATTTCTTGGCATTGATTGCCTATAATGCTTGAGATACATTGTTAAGTCCCGGGATTACTCCGGATAATTTATGTCTCTCGTTTGTTGAATTTTATTTTATATTCTAGTTTGAAATGATGTTTGTTGATAGTTTTATTGTGAATTGTTTTAATTCTAATTAGTAGGAGCTCAAATCGACCCTGGACGGGTCCCTGACGAAGGAAGCTGAAGTATTAGAGAAATTTGGGATCAAAGGGGCTTGATTTTTTAGGGCTTGATTAAGTCAGTTAGGGTTTAGGAAAGAAGAAGGCATTTGGTTTTAAATGTCTCAATCAGCCACCTCCCTCTCCCTCACTCCGGCCACCGTGCTCCGCCCTCCGACGACGGTTGGCGGCGTGCAACACCGTCCTTTGATTCCTTCTTTGTCATAGAACCCTAGTGTTGCTGCCTCCCCTAGTTTACCATAGGTCGGGTTCGGAATGAATCATCCAACCCATACATGTCTCCAATGAAGCTACGAAGCCTAAGCCCACACATGCATTCAGCTTTGGTGTATGCACGACCCAACCCAACCCAACCTATGCGATTGACTCGCCTAACGAGCAACCCTCGTCCATGCCTCAGTCCTTGTGAAACATAGGCCTAAGTCCATGACTCAGTCCTTGTGAAACATAGGCCTAAGTCCATGACGACACTAGCTCAAATGTAGAGACTTGTGAGCTTGTGACTTAGGACTAACTCACCTCTTAAGTAGTCAGTGAGCATCTTACTCGCCTCTAGCCATGGCTTCGTTAGTAGCTCAACAGCTTCGGTGGACTGAGTGTTCGGCTCACCTTGGCTTGTGGTCGGCTTGACTCCAATTCATCTTCGGTTTAGCTCGATTCTAGTTTTTCGGCCTTTGTTCAGCCATTTTTGGGCCGATTCAAGGTTTTTCCAGCTAGTTCAAGTCATTTCAGCCTGTTCTAGACCATATTAAGTATGTCAGTCTAACTCATCTTTTAGGCAATTTAGTAGCATATTTCACGATTTAAGGCTAGATTACGAGTAATTAGGTAAGGTTGCAGTTAGGAACGTCAACCAAAGAGAGCTTACGAGCACTAAGTTGAACTTCAGCTATAAGTGAACTTACTGTTGGAATGCCTACAAGCTAAATTGGATGAAATTAACTAAGACATGTTATGCTTTTATGTATGTGTTATTAATTTTTTAATGATGACGTACGATTATTTGATGCATGTGCTTCTATATATACTTAGTCGTTCATGACTGTTATGATCATGTATATGATTTACAAGATACCATGATGTAAAATGTGTTGTGAATATGATTGAAATGCCTAAAAACTGTATGTACTTCTCCTGAAGAATTTCGTCGTGTTATATATGAAAGTATTATGTGTATTATATTACTTAATCATAATTTTATGTGGACCCTCATGCATATTGTATACTCGTATGATCGTGGATTACTTCTCGAGTTATATAATGTATAGATGTCTACACTTAAGATATTATTCACGTTCCTTTCTTTTTTACTTGTTTTAGCTGCATGAGCATGCACTTACCCATATTTAGGTTTAAGGGGTATGTTAACGAGATCGTCTAGTGGGCCACGTGTAGAATAGGTTATGTTATGTAATTAGATGCAATTTATTCACCCTTTTTTTTGTGTGCCAAATCCAACCAAATTATTCCCAATAACAGTAGCCAAAGTAAAAAAGTAAAACCAAACTCAATTTGCTGAAGGTACTCCTTGATATGGATCGGTGAAAGTTGTAACATTACCGGGTCTTGAAAACACGATCTGCATATGTCGACGTACAATTATTGGATGAGGCTCATGATCGAAATATGTCGAAACAACAAAAATAATTAAAAAGTATAAACGCTTAAGATTCTTCCGTACCTGATAATCTCTCATACATCGAGATTTAAAGCCCGCAGCACAATAATCAAAATAGTATTCCCAAGTTCGTATGAAACGTTCATCAAAACCCAGTTCAAGAATCTTGCTGATACAAACAGAATTCACAATGCCTTAAAGGGATTGAACTTCAATATGAACCAACCCACACTGATTAACTTGGCTTCATACCTCTTATTCTCTATGAAATTCTTCTTCCAACACCTCAATGTCCGATAGTAATGAATACCAATGTTTTCCACATGTTCTACGCTGCAAATTAAAGGACTAATCACGGGTTTATAAGTAACAAATACTATCTCCATTAGTATGAGTCGGTCTTTTGGAGAAATCAAAAGCAAAGCCACGAGAATTTATGCTCAAAGTGGACAATATCATACACATTGGTCGGAGTATGGCTAGTCCTTTTCTATAGTAGACGCATTTTAAAACCATGAGACTACAATATCTCCTAACAGTGAACTTAGGTTAATATTTGCTTACCAAAGCCTGGATGCTTTAGCCATGGCTGTCGTTAGCCTACTTATTGATGGTAGACATCCTCCAGGAAATATATATTCTTTCATAAAGTCTGAACTCAGTCGATGCTCATCGTAACGCTCATCTGGTATTGATATAAACTAACACGAACCAAAAGTTATATGAAATCAACGTAAATACTCACCAAAATTCATGCATTTACAAATTTTCCAACCTGTAGAACTAGAAGACCATTCTCTGCTAATACTGATTCACATGAACCAAAGAAATCTTCCATAAACTCATGACCAACAGATTCTATCATCCCGCTGAATATATAAAAAAGAATCAAACAAGTTCATAAACATAGCTAAATCACTTCCTTTCACTCACTCACCATGATATAATGCTATCGTATTTGATATTATTTGGCAATTCCCGATAGTCACAAAAAAGAAACTTGATCTGATCCTGAAAGAAAGGTTTGACCGAAATGAATGGTTAATGAACGGAATGAGTGTTATGCTGGGTTCGCAGAACAACACACCCTCGATCTAGATGAACACAAAGAATAGGAAAGAGAAAATGCAAGGAAGAATATTGGCTAAAATGATTGAAGTATGTACGGTAAGAATACAGAGAATGCAGAAAGATAATGCAAACAGAAATATGGGCTAAAAGTTTATATTAATTAGACTTCCAATATATATACACGGAGAAAGCAGAAAATAAATTTTCAAAACAGCGAATATATATATGGTTCAATTTGCTGTATATAATTTTACCAAATATAATCATCTACTTTATATAAATATATATTTGTAGAGTTGAACCGATATAACTTTTTACTGGACATAATTATTTACTATACATAATTTTACTATGTATAATCATTGACTGAGCTACAAATAAGCATCAGCGTCCATAACCTAACATGCCCGTTCAGAAAAGTTTTTTTTCTCGTTTTGGTCTAATAGCTAGATTCACTCGAGGTTCTACTAAGACTAAAATGAGAACCTAAAATAACTTGTAGCTATTACACGAGACCTTACCATCCAAACCTGAATGCAAAAATCATATTCAGGGCATTTGAAGCATCAAGTGAGAAAACTGAGTTACGATCAATATTTTTTAACAATTTTTTACTCTGGAGCCATTATCGAACCATTTTCGATAGAGGTAAAACTCAAATTACTGCATATTTTTACCTGAAGACCCAGATCTTTGACTTTCTTCTCAGCATATTTGAATTGTTCTTCAGACAAAGTAATGCCAGTGTAATGACATCCAGTTTGTTTCACAGCTTCAATAGCAAGGCTTCCCCAACCACACCCAATTTCTAGGATGTGATGATTCTTATTAATTCTTGCCTACCAATTATCAAAATTAATTAATGAAGAAAAAAATTATAAATATGGTAATAATTGAATTTAATATTTGAAGCTAAATAATCACCTTCTTTATAAGAATTGAAATTTTTCTAAGTTGAGCAACACTCAAATCTTCATCCTCCCTCTATTAAAAAAAAAAAAAAAAGTTTAGAAAAACACGACACAAAAATTAGCGTATGAACACATTATTAAATGTTTAAGGATGATAGTGTCTGTCTGTGGTATAGAAACCTTAAAAATAGCGCATGAATATGTCATTGTGTGATCCAAGAAGAGAGAAAAGAGTTCATTGCTTAGATCATAATGTCGAGAGATGTTCCTACGAGCTTGTGTAATAGTGTTTTGTCTTAAAGAATGTTGGAAGAAGTACTTTGCATATGCAATACTAGCTGTGAGTAATGGAGGCGTCCACCATCCCCTAAAATGTAAACAAATGTGTTTGATTTAAAACACTTTGAAGTCATATCGAACGGGTTCTAAATAGTTTAACCAAACTCTTGAAGGATCGATACAAATATGTATACCTTTTCTTCTTCATAGTTGTAACCGAAGAGTTTGCATCTCTATTGACTATGAATATCTGTAATAGACATTAGTACGAAAGAGTATTATGAGTATATTGTAACAGTTGAAGCCTAATGCTAGCAGATACTTCTCTAGAATGCGTACACTAGGGAGAGGTTTCCACAACCTTACAAGGAATGCTTTGTTCCCCTTTCTAGCTGGTGTGAGACCTCAAAATCCACTCAAGGTTTTAAAATGTGCCACTAGGGAAAGGTTTTCACACCGTCGTAAGCAATGTTTCGTTCCCCTCTCCAACCGATGTGGGACTTCAAAACCCACTCAAGGTTTTCAAACGCGTCCACTAGGGAGGAGTTTCCCCACCCTTATAAGGAATACTTCGTTCCCCTCTCCAACCGATGTGAGACCTCAAAATTCACCCCCTTTTGGTGCCCAACGTCTTTGCTAGCACACCACTCAATATCTGGCTCTAATACCATTTGTAACAACCCAAGCAAACCATTAGCAGATATTGTCCTCTTTGGGCTTTCTCTTAACGTTTTAAAACGCACTCACTAGTGAAAGATTTTCATACTCTTATAAGGAATACTTTCGTTCTCCTCTCCAACCGATGTGAGACCTCACATGTAGTATTATTAACAATTTCTTTTCAACTCTTTCTACTCTAACTGTATTCTAACTCATACTTGTTTAAACAAGAGAAATGGTTCCTATAATAACACGGTTCATGAATTATACACAAATAGTACGAGATAAATTAGTCAGATTTTCATGATTACTTTATCCCATGCAAATCGTTTC